ACGCTTCTTCATATGACACTCTCCAAGTTTGAGGATGTGCAGGGGAGACTTTTCCTCAGTCCCATCGAACTGACAACTGATGAGGACTTTAGAGAAGGTATTTTCCCAGGTTATGCCAACCCTTCCTATGGATAGTTAGGCTGGCTTCCTTCCTGCTATCTTCAAGCAAGCAAAGACTTTTCTGTACAGGAAAAAAGCATTTGGCAACTTAATGGGCTATGGAGAAAGTCATTTCTGATGGGGATGCTGCAATTTTCTTTAAAGTTCTTTTCTAAAACGTTTCAACCTATTTGTTGCTTGGGTTTTTTATTTTTGTCTTTTACTTCATAATGTTTTAGTTTGATGTTATTACATGCTTAATTTCATTGTTAATAAAATACTAGATATATATAACTGTGGTTTTTGTTTTCCCACTTTGTAAAACACCATGGGAATTGGGAGGAAAGCAGGATTTGTATCTATTTTTATTTATTTATTTATTAAATTTATGCCCCGCCCATCTAGACCATAGTTTACTCTGGGCGGCTAACAATAATAGATACTGTACAATAAAAACAATATAATAAAATACAATGCAATATACAATAGAATTGTATTCAATAGAATAAATAATATATACACATTTTGTTTCTCTGGGCGGCTAACAATAATAGATACAATAAAAACAATATAATAAAATGCAATGCAATATATAATAGAATTGTATTCAATAGAACAAATAATATATACACATTTTGTTTTACTTTGGTTGTAATCCTATTATAATCTGACCTGGAAATAAGCCCCTATCCGCATGAACCAGCAGAACTAATTTCTGAGTAAACATGCATCAGATTGCATTGATTAGAATTCACCAACTTGCCAGTCAGAAAATGATCACTGTAATAACTTCTATAAACTAGAAGCAAAATAAATTTAACTATCCAATATTACGCTAAATAGGCACTCCTGAATTCCATGGGCCTGATTTCCAAATAAATGGTCATAGGATTTCACCTTACAAGAAATGGTATAACAAAAACATGTTTAAACATCATGCACATCAACCAAAAAATAGCAGAACGTCTTAAGTGACTGCCGAGATACTTTCTAACCTTACTAGATTCCAAGGTCCTGAAGGTTAGCAATAAAGTAAACACTTTGGTTATAGCTAGGGGCTGGGTTTCATGGATTTCCTAAACCTGCTGAGAATTCTAGCATCCACCTTAGCCAGCCTTCTGAAACATAGAGAATGTCACTTCTTGGTATCATGCTTTGTTGATTTGTACCATCTTTATAATGGCTAGGACAGCAATGTGCAAATGTGATATATTTACTGGGCCTATTTTTGTCCTGACCATTTTGGCTGAAGCTGAAATTGGATGATATAGTTCTCAACTCTTCAGGTAATAATGACTTAGAATAGACACATATAGTTTTGTATGAATTCAGAAACATAACATAACTTCGAAGAACTAAAATATCTCATCCTGGCGCATGATGGTTAAAAAATACTAAAACAAAAACCTCAAAGTGCATGCTACATGGATTTAAATTACTTTTCTAAAATCATTTAAAAAATATTTCTAATTATTTCAAAATAAAACATTGAATAATGCCATGTCATACTTACAGAAGGCCCTTGAATAAACTGAGAAAGATACATTGAATTTCCTTTTTCTCCCTTTTGGCCAAGAAAACCCTATAAAAACATTTAAAAACTGTGTCAGTGACAAAACCATTTCATGGCCTTGCTTATAAAAAGTGAAATAATGTAACAGATATGTTTTGAGTCTAACAGTTTCAATATTCTTTACCTTATAGGCTAAATCCAATTCCATAAAGCAAGTTTTGATTCAGGAATGTATGCTCAAAGGAAGTTTGAGGCAAAGTGTAACAACAATACAGAGTTGCAACTACTAAATTTGAGGAAGTTTGAGGCAAAGTGTAACAACAATATAACTTACCCTGTAGTTTGTGCCAGAGTTGCAACTACTAAATTTGGTGCATTTTCCATTGGCTATACAACATAAAGCAAATCATGAACAATACCTTTCTTTTTTCATGGGCATTTGTTGTATTTTGTTCAGCTAGCAGGGGCTATGTATTTTTTTGCTGGTGATTTTGCTCACTTTGCTTTTTTTCAGTTTCTGACATGTGCAATCACCTATAACAGTCCAAAGGGGGTAGCAGCAGGACGTCTTAGGATGACATGGATGGTGAGGTATCTTTTTCTTTTCTTTTTCTTTTTTGCAAGTGACAGAGTGCTGAATTGATATAGCAACTTGTGAAACTCCAGTGCTTACATTTACATTGGAAACATATAATTTCAAAAATTTAAGAAAAGACAAGAGGCGGTTGTGAGGGATGTTTCCAATGTACTGGCATACTGTGCCTCACTGAGGGGTATGCCGATACACTGGAAACATTCACCACAACTAAATGCATTTTGTCTCTCCTCTGAACAATTTTTAACTGCACTTCTCTAAATTAGTACTATATCAGATAAGCACTGCAGTTGCACAGTTTTCATTATCAATTTAGCATGATGTCACTTGCCAAAAAAAGAGATGCGAAAAAGAGCAGTGTTAATGATGGAGGAGGATGGTGACCTGTGCTCCTGGTGATAATTGTTGCAATCTTATACGTTTTGTGGTCTTGTATCCCCACCCCAAATTGCCAAGGATAATTCATCTGTATGAACAACAACAGCAAGTTAACTGCTATAGGAAACTTTGAATCAATAAGAATCAACCCAGGACAGCCTCTCTGTCTGGTTACACCCTAACATTAGAACATGCATCTATAAAATCAGAGGATTGGTTCCAGACAGGGTAGCTAATTCACAGAAGGAACCAGGATTTAGTGGCTTCCAGCTGAAGGAAAAGGGCAGAACTGCATTTCTGTCCACCAACGCTCCTTGTCCTTCTAACTCCTCCTGCCTCCATCAACATTTGCTGAACCTTTTCAGTGGGATCCTCTACTCTCCAGAACAACTTTCTGGGAGAACAGGAGGCTGAAACAGGCATAACAAATTGTCAAAAATATACAGCTCGCCTCTTTCCTCCAGCCCTAATGAAACTTTGCTGATTGCAAGTCTGAAACCTTCCTGCAGCCACCCCCTTCCACCTGCCACTATGATAAATGCAGATGCTACAAACATGAATATTCTGCATTTTTAAAATGAAGTAACGTTCAATTTCAATTGAAGGTTCTGTCTACAAACTCACATTCTCTGTATCAGGCATGGTAATCAGACAGCCCATAGACTATATGTGTCCCTTAGGCTATTTTTGATGGCTCTGGTCACTTCTCATTCCACTGATTTCCTCCTGCTCCCTTCCAAATTAGCCAGAAAAGAAAAACTGGCACCTCAGGAGCAGGCAGTTCTCCTGAAAGGCAAGATGCAGATATTGCTGTAGTGTGGGTGAGGAGCAGTGTTTGTTTCACTTCAAAACCAGAAGTAAGCTTCCAGTCATTTCCAGTTCTGAAACAAAGAAGTATTTTGGGATGGAGCACTACATGAAGTGGGTCCCCAAAGGGAAAATTCTGGAGCTTGCTCACCTTTGTATATGATGGACTGGCTCTATGCTAAGACCTATTTAAGAGGGCCCATTGAAACCAATTAGTCTATGTCAAGTATGTACAAGTTTGTATTCAAACCAAAATTTCTGATCAGGTCATAATAAAGTTCAACTCACAGGTGAGCCTCTTGGCCCAATACGTCCTGCCTCTCCAGGAAATCCTAGATCACCCCTTGACCCATTGCACCCGTCCAAGCCAGGTTTGCCTCTGGATCCTTCAGGTCCTGGTAGTCCCTAGGAAGGATTACATTAAAATGCAAAGTCATATTAAAAATAAGGTGAGAGAAACTATTTTATCAGGTAGCACCAGATAAGGGGCAGAGGGAGGAAGAGTACAGTTATCCCATGTAGCAGGTTAGAGAAGAGGCAAAATTACCACTACACCAAAAATTCCTTCTTTGCATTGCTGGACTGTGCATGCCTCTTCATCTTCCATGGGGAATAGGGCATCAACAGGTCCTATGTGTCTAGACATAAGGACAGAAGCCAAAGCTTTTTTCTAACACACTTTTAATTAAGTGAACTAACAAAGTAACTCCAAAGTGTTCCAGTCACTGAGGCCCACCTTTCATTCACCCAAATCAGTCTGATTCTGGTCAGTCTTAATATCCCAAAATGGGAAATGGTTACTTCATCTATCCCTATGAGTTTCTCAGAATTCACAACTATCCCCATAGCTGCCTTTTTCTTCAGGAGGAAGATGGCTTGCACCTCAGCTTCAAGTTGTCAGAGGTAATTGAACTGTCTCCTCCACCACTGTAGCTGTGTAGGGTTAAGTGTCATTGGGGTTGAATCAGCAGGAAGTTGCTGTTGTCTTCTAAGTGCCTCCTCCCCACAGAGTGCAGTCAAACCAGCTCCTTGGATTACTAGGTAGCTGGGGATGATCAAATGAAGGTGACAAAGACTAGAATGACAATGATGGAAAATTCAGAGAAGATCTGATTGAATACGGGTAAGAAAGGCTACTCTGTGGTAGTAGAAAGCCTATTTTATGGAAGTGATGGCAGCAAGGAAGCAATTCTTCTCTCACACCATTGCATCTGCACAGAGCCATCCAGCACAGCTCTTTCGGGTGGTCAAGGGCCAGTTGCATAAATGTCTACAAGAGAGGGACAAGAACTACTTGACAGCCAGCTGTGAAGATTTTGCATGGTACTTCACAGACAAACTCACTCTGAACTGCCTCCCATTTATATAATTTTGGCCACTGCATGACTCATCATAATGGACACATTTCAGTTGGTGCAGCATGAGGATATGGACAGGGTCTTTCGAAAGGTAAAAGCCACCACATGTGGGGTCACAGACAAACTCACTCTGAACTGCCTCCTGTTGATATAACTTTGGCCACTGCATTGACTCATCATAATGGACACGTTTCAGTTGGTGCAGCAGGGTCTTTCGAGAGGTAAAAGCCACCACATGTGGGCTGAACCCTTGCCCTTCCTGGCTTATAAAAATGGCCAGGGGAGAATGGATGAGTCGGTTGCCTCCTTGCAACAAGGGCAGGTACCAGTAAATCTAAAGATGACAGTGGAACACCTTTGTTCAAGATAGCCTCCTTGAATACCACAGGGCATCTAGCTTTTGAAACCATCAACCATGGTATCCTTCTAGGTCACCTGGGATGGGTCTTAGAGGTACTTTACATTGGTTCCAATTCATTCTGAATGGCTGAATTCAGAGTGTGCTGTTGAAGGAATCCTGTTTCACACTCTTGCCATTGGCCTCTGGTGTTGTCCAGGGTTCAGTTCTGCCCCTCCTCCCTCCCACTATTCAACATCTACATGAAACTGCTGGAAGAGGTTGTCCAGTTCTCAGGTTCAGCGCCATCAGTATGCTGATGACATCCAACTCTATTTCTAATTCTCCCATGTGATTCCAAGGAAGTTGTCCTGTGCCTAGACCACTGCCTCTTGTCAGTAATGGACGGGTTAACAAACTGAAATTTAATGCAGACAAGACAGAGGTTCTCCCAATGAGTCACAAAGTAAATCAGGACTAGGGATCCATCATGTCCTGGATAGGGTTACATTTCCCCTGAAAAGTCAGTTTCACAGCTTGGGTGTGGTCCTGGATTCAGCCATGAGCTTGGATGTACAGGTCTTAGCAGTAGCTAGGAGTGCATTTGTACAGTTAAAGCTGGTCCATTCCCTGAGATGTCTAATCTGGCCATGGTGACACATCTAGTTACATCTTATCTGGATTACTGCAATGTGGGGCTGCCTTTCAAGAGTGTTTGGAAACTTCAGCTGTTTCAAAGTGCTATAGCCATACTGCTGGTTACAAGGAACATGTAACTTCCTTATTTCAACACCTTCACTAGCTGCCAGTCTGTCTCCAGGCTTAATTCAAAGTGCTGCTTATTATCCATAAAACCCTATATGGCTTCAAAGTCTATTTGAAGAACCATTTCTTCAAAGGATCAAACACATACCACACTAAAAGACAGTAAACAAAGGAACACCAAAAACACATTCAAAGCAGTAAAGTACAACCATCCAATTAAAACACCACTCAGGCAGCCAGTCATTCAGGAAAAGTTTGCCAGAAAAGAAGTGTTTGCAGAAGTACAGCAAAACGGGGCCAGCCATCTTGACAAATGTTTAACTGTTTCTTTAATACAATTTTGTATAAGTATTTTATACCTGTTACCATTGTGCAGTTTTAATTGCTGTGAACTACCTTGGGCCCCCTAGGGGGAGAAAGGTGGCATATAAATAATATATAGCCAAAGGGAGGCTGTAGACAAGAAATCAGAAGAAAACTGAGACTAGGAAGGACAGCAATGAAGGAATCAGAAAAGATCACATGAAGTGTAAGGATGTGTCACTAGAGACCAAGACCAAGATAATCCACACTAATATAGTGGAGAGCAAAGAAACCTCACAGGAAAAAATGATTTGTTTGAAATACTGTGTTGAAGTGAGTCCTACAGTAAATCAAGCTTGAACTATCTCTGAAGGCAAAATGACAAAACTCATGCTTTGAGCACATAATGGATTCTCTGGAAAAGACAATAATGCTGGGAAAGGTTGAAAGCAGTTTATAGATAAACAGTAGATCTAGATCTAAATCTAGATACACACACACATTCACACATACAACTAGCATGAGGGAGTTTTAAACCTAGCTGCATAGAGTGGTCACAACGGCCAGATAGGTGGGATACAAATAGAATAAACAAACAAACAAACCTCTTATCTCATGGATCTAATTTAGATCAGGCCTCCCAATTTCTATTGTTATATTTAATAAGAGAAAGAGGATAATGCCGCATCTAGACTGAAATCATACCGAGAGATGAGCTAACATTTCCTCCATGCATGGAAGGACCTTCAATACGTACACAGAATTCTCACACATAATTCAGGAATGTACTCAATTACATAAAACATTTCTTGTCCAAGTAGCTTGTTTATGTGATTTCTTTAGACAATAAGTGATCATATGTACTTACAGGCACACCGTCTAACCCAGAAAATCCTGGAACTCCTGTAGGACCCTGAAAAGATTAAATATTCAAAAATGTAAAAAAAAGGGTGCTAATTGAAAAACGAATCACCAAATTCATTCAAAAATTGTAAATACATTGATTTGTATTCATAAAAATCAATGCCCCCAGTGAATCATGAATTAATGAATTTTTAGCAATTTTTAATTCATTGATTTGTTTGAAAATAAATCAGCCCCCAAGGCACCTAGAAACACCAAAATTGCAGGGAAACCTTTTCTGTCTCCCCTCTATAATCTCTCCATGTTTGGTGAATACTGGGTTTCAGGTGTCCACATTATACACCCACAAAGAGAGGCCACCAGGCACCTAGAGACACCAACATCAGAGAGAAGCTTCCCCTGACACTCCTCTACAATCCATCCAAGTTAGCTGAAGATTGGATTTCCCCTAGCCAGCTGCTAAAGGACAGTTTCCTGGGAGGAAGACATCTGAAACTCAGTCTTCATCAAACTTGGATGTCTGAAACACAATCATCATCAAACGTGGCGGGATTATACATGAGATTGAGGAGAAGCTTCTCTGTGATTTTGGTGTCTCTAAGTGCCTGGGGGAAACTTCCCTAAGGGAGCTTTTTGTGGGTATATAATTGGGTCCAAAACCCAAACTTCACCAAACTAGCAAGGCTTGTACAGGAGAGACAGGGCAAGCTTCCGTCTGATTTTGATGTCTCTTGGTGCTCGGGGTGTGTGTGTGTGCATTTTCTAGGGTTTTAAAATAAACTCTTGCTTTTACCTAGTCTTTTGTTCTATTTTCCATCTTAATCAATACTAACATTGTTGATTTAATTCATGGTTTTAATTGTTTTATGAATAATTTTATTTGAGCCGCCCTGAGTCTAGAAAGGCGGGATAAAAAATCTAATAAATAAATAAAATAAATAAAAAATGAATTAACAAATTGATTGATCAGAAAAAAAGTATATTTGTAATTCATGATTTGTTGACCTTGATGAATCACAAATCAAAATGAGTCACATTTTTTTCTGATTTGTGCCCAACTCTAGTGCTTATTTTAAAAGTGATTTAAGCTGGGGAGGCAATGTCTAATACCTTTTCCCATACCAGCAGATTTAGGGATGATCTGTAAAAACATTACCTCCTTCCTAGTTATTTTCTAGAATTATTTTCTAGCAATAATAATGCGGTGGTTGTAAATGTGCTTTGTATATGAGCAGGTTGCTTATGTGTGACTCTGGCTTTGCTTTTCAAATCGACATCTATGTGCTCACACTAGTGTCAGTGCCTGCACAAACCATACCGGAAAATTCAAGATTTGAGTCCAGGTGTAAACTGTGCTTTCTCTAATGAAGTTGCAGAGTTACTATAAAACTAGGGCAAGCACATCTATTGACAAGTCATGTGACTCAACGACTTTGAAAACTACTTAAGAAAGGGACTGAGGGACAGGTAGATTTTTGGTTTTGAGAGACATCCTTTATAGAGCGCAATGGGTAGATGGACTACCTGTCCCATAATCCCTTGAAGCCCCCATGTATCTGGATGCAATGATGGCTCCAAAGACGTTTGAAAGCCCATATGTGGGTAAAGAACACAGCTTTGTGGGCTTTGTTTGTTTGTTTGTTATTTTGCTATACGTCGCAGAATCCTGAGTGGAGGAATTTCTGAAAAATTCTGGGAGCTGCAGTCCCAAAAGTCTGGAAGTCTCATGCCTACTTGAGATGTACAGTGGGGTCTTGACTTGAGAACTTAATCCGTATTGGAAGATGGTTCTCAAGTCAAAAAGTTCTCAGGTCAAATCTGCATTTCCCATAGGAATGCATTGAAAACCATTTGATCCGTATCTGCTCTTTTCCGTCCATAGAAAGTAATGGGAAGCTACTATTCCGCCTTCGACCACTAGAGGGGGATATTTTGTTTCTTTTTTTCTTAGGTCAAGAAAGGTTCAGGGAAGGCAGGGAAAATACAGTCCAGGCAGTACAGTACCAGGCAGTCTGAAGACTGGCTCCCAATCCACTCTCTAAACGCTGGGAGGAGTGAGGAAGCAGACAGGCACCCTTTTCACTGACCAACAGTTAACTGAAAGTTCAAATTTTGCACTTTCCCTGCCTCCCACGTGGGTTTTGTTCAGTTCTTAACTCAAATCTAAGTATGTAAGTCAAGTCAATATTTTCCTAAGAGAGTGGTTCTTAAGTCAAAATGATCTTAACTCGAGCCGTTCTTAAGTCAAGACCCCACTGTACAGTGAACTGGGTGTGGCTCACTCCAAAATGCCTTGACTCAGCTCTAGAAGGTTCTAGAATGTTATGTGCAAGAACAGGAAAACCAGTTAGTGTGTGTGTTCATGTAGACCACAAAGAACTAAAGTCCTACATCTAATCTTCAGCTTCCTGAGCAGAAAGGAGGTAGTAAGAATGAAAAGCTGTCTGCCTGAGATTCTGGAGAACTGATGTCAGTCCAAGTTTGCATCACTAAGCTCTAAAGACAAACAGTATAACTCAGGATCAGACAGCTTCTATCAATACAATCTCAGCTGTCTAGACCAAATAACAGTAGTAACAAAGGAAAGTTACTCCTTTCGTACAAAGCAATAATACCGTTTCCTAAGAGGTGACAATGTCTGCCTGTGTCACCATGTTAACAAAATTAAAGTGGGGAGGGGAGAAGTGAAAAAATAAAGGATAAAATATTGTGGCATTTTAAAATATTTATTCCAGTGTAGACTTTCCTGAATCAAGGCAGACTTTCTTAGACAATTATAATACAGCTACTTTTAATATGCACAAAGAATAAGTCCGAATAATACTATGAATTGTGAAATTTCTTGCCTTTCTCTTGAACAATCTATGTTTTTTCCATTTTTTTCTTCCAATAAAGTTTTTTACCATAAAGTAAAATATTGAAGAAACAATTAAAGAAACATTTTTCCATGTTCTGTAATAGGAAAAATATTTTGTTGTTGTGATTACAACTTACCATACTGCCTCTTTCTCCAGCAGGCCCAGGCTGACCTATTTCACCTCTCTGGCCTTTTTCTCCAGGCAGACCAATTGGACCCATAGGACCCAATGCACCAATTGGACCCTGGGGTCCTAGCTGGCCAGGCTGACCCTAAAAAGAAGAAACAGTTCAGGTGGAGACCTTATGTAAAAACAAAAACAATCAAATCCTGTTCCAAGAAGGCTACAGAAGAAAATTCATGGTATAGACGTTAACATCCATGACTCCAGTTCTACTTCTAAGACACCATGTAATACTGAGAAGAATGCACTGATGCACCAATTCATACATGAAACCACAAGCCTTGATCTGAGAAGGGTATACCTACAGCTACTATCTAGTCTTACCAACAGAGAACATCATCAGTGCTCTGTTGCTTTTTATGCAAGCATGGAGCTCCAGCTATGAAAGCTGCAGCACTGATCTAAGAATGTGCCAGAGATTGCTTCAGCAACTTCCCCAACTGGAGTTTCGAGCACGTACAGTAAATATTAAACAGGACACGAGGCTATTATCAAAGTCTTAAGTGTAACCACTTGAGGGCAGCAAAGAATTTCAGATTACAAAACCTCAGTCACAGAAACTATTTTTGTACAACCTGATTAAAAGTGAAATACACAACAGCACACAAAATATTAATATAAATAGTTCTTGTAGATTTCTTCATGAGACCATTTCTCCTAATGCTGAATAAGAGATAATCTACTTGTGGTTGCAGGACAAAAAGCTTATATGCAAAACAGCACGTTTTATGGCTTGTTAAAAAATTTACCATGAATCATAATTGGAACTGAGCTTCTATTTCTTTTCCAACACAGAATTTTCAGCGCAAAGTACCCTTTTCTTTGTCTTTACTCATGATTAATTGTTTTCATTTCTTCAGGACAGATGCTCCATAAACTCCTGTATCTTACAATTGCACCTCCGGAAAGCTGGCAGTTTTAGGAATCAGATCTGACAGTATCCTAATGAAAATACATTGCATTTAGTATTGTAGCTTGCATATTCAGTTTGGAAGTGCACAGAATAATGAAACTGACATCCACACTTCTTCTTAGGTCCACATTTTTCAGCATAGCCATAGGCATGCCTAAACCAAGCTTCATGGATGCTTTGAGATGAAAATGCTATTCATCTCCTGGGAGACAGGGTGGGGTAAAAATATATTAAGGCAGTGATGCATCTGAGTAATTTTTAACATTGCAATCCATTGCTTTTTGGTTTCCTACAGCATTTATGAGTTCTAGCTACAGGAAACTCATTATTCACTCAAGCTAAAAATGCAGGAGTAAATGAACAAAAGTTATACTTTTGCTGTTCACAAATACACATTATAGTCCAGGCTACTGCTCTATACATTTAGAGCTTAGTGGAACATCTCTTGAAATCACAGTGTTTCAACTGAATGAGCATGAATCCTTTCCACAAAGCTTGTCCTGAAAAACAACCCTAAATACTTTTATCGAAAATAGAATTATTAATGGGTTGGAGACTGCAAATAAAGATTGATTGATATTGAAAAAATAAAATTATAATAAATATTATTTTTCATACTGCTGGCATCATAGTCCAAAGTATGACAGCCTCAACTTAGTCATTTTAACTTTCAGGAATTGTTCAGGCTTGATTTGATGTACAACACATTTACTTGTAGTCTATGGTATCTGTAAAACTCTTATCCAGCACTATATTTCAAAATAGCCGATTCTCTTCCAGTCAGCTTTCTTTATCATCTGTGCTTTCACATCTATGTATGTTAATTATGAATGCCACGGTATGGGTGGTCCTTACTCTACAGCATATTTTCTTGTTCATTTGTAGCTATTCTTCTAAGCCTTAGTCTTCAAATTTCTTGGTTACAGTTTTCATTTTGACTGATGCTTGGGCCATGGCATATACAGTAATGTAAATTAAGCGAGGCACCACTGTATTTCAAAATAGCCGATTCTCTTCAAGTCAGCTTTCTTTATCATCTGTGCTTTCACATCTATGTATGTTAATTATGAATGCCACGGTATGGGTGGTCCTTACTCTACAGCATATTTTCTTGTTCATTTGTAGCTATTCTTCTAAGCCTTAGTCTTCAAATTTCTTGGTTACAGTTTTCATTTTGACTGATGCTTGGGCCATGGCATATACAGTAATGTAAATCTATAGCTATTGTGATTTTGGCATTGTTTACATTAAAGTTATGTAATTCTTCTGTAATAATGATTTTCGCCCTTAATGTTCCATTGTCATCTTTGTTTTTCTGCCTCCTTCTTTAGCTGTCATCAGAGGTCATTGCAAGCCACTGATATTTTCTGTCAGTAACAAAGTGCTATCTGCATATCTCACATTGATGTTTCTTCCACCAATGATCACTCCCTTCCATCTGAATCAAATCCATATGGGTTTTCTCCCTTAACACAAATTAAACTGTGAGGAAACCTTTTTCCTAGACCAACCTTGGTGAAAAATTTAATAGGGTGATTAGTGGCTGATTATAGCAGCTCTCCATGGCTACAATAGGAGTTAACATGGCTCTTCAGGCTATAATAGGGCTTAGTAGGGTTTCAGAAGCCAAGCTGAGCCCATGGCTTGCCAGTTGCCCATCCCTAATTTAGACTGTCACCAGAAAGGGGAGAAGAGAACACACTAACTGAATCTAAAATTCACAATAAGTTTGACAGCTGACTGATTCAACTTAGGCACATCATGCAAAGCCACAGCATTGCTGGTCTTTCTTTCAGCTCAAAGACCAATTATGAGTGGAAGCTTTGCTAAGGCCAAGTTGATACCATCCATAACATCCATTATTTGTGCCCAGCTAATGTGACTGATGCAGTATTCCAATCTCAGGACAGCTGTCAAAATAAAGAGGATGAAGGAAGCCATGCTTAATGTGGAAATGACAAATTAGTTCAGTTTAGTTAGTTAAAACAGACAGAATGTTATGCCTGGCATCTGCTAGCTGATGCAAATAAATCCCACTAGCTAGCTAATTGTCTAGGTCAGGAACTCCTCCAGTGCCAAGACTAGCCAATGTTATTTTAGCACATCCTGGAATTAACTGATTGTAGAAGGCTGAGTCTCAACCAAACAAAACAACTTTATTTGAAAATGACAATGAGGATCCTTATTAAATAAAATATGATTTATTAAAAAAATTAAAAACCAACACCAAGTATTAAATAAATGTGCATCACTCATTTTCTACTCCTGCAGTTACGACAGTTGAAAATGGAATTTTGTCACTCTCTGTCTCTAGAGTAGAAGCCCTGCAGTAAAGCATATTTGGAGCAGTTTTGTAGAAACAAAGGTCTCCTAGAATAGAAGTTCCTCAAATTTCAGCATCTATATTTATATCCAGCCATTTCTTTGTTGAAGACTAGGCATGCATTACAGAGGGCACTGCTTCTCACACGGAAAACAAAACAGCCTTAGTGACTGCTGTTTTGTCACTTCTGGAGTCCTCAATTCACCTTCAGTATTTTGTTGTTGTTATGTGCCATCAAGTTGCCTCCAACTCATGACAACACTTTGAATGAACAATCTCCAAAATGTCTTGTCCTCAACTGCCCTGCTCAGCTCTTGTAAAGTCAAGTCTATGGTTCCTTTATAGAGTCAGCCAGTTTCATATTTGGTCTTCCTCTTTTCCTGCTGCCTTCAACCTTTCCCAGTACCATTGAGAATCTTGTTTTCTCATGAAATGCTATTAGTAGTATACAAAGAAAATATATAGGCAAGGCCTCAGCTTGGTATGTCTGGCTAATTGCTGGTCATAGTGATTCTGAGGTTGCTTCAAAAGAATTATGTCTAAACTTCCAGCCATTTTAAGCAAAAGTATGTTAAGTATCAGATATGGTCATGGTGTCTTTTGAAAATATTCCCTTGTGCTATTCAGCCTCTACACACAGATACTTAAGAATAAACAGAATTTGGGGGGAGGGTGTTGAAAGCAAATTAAAAACTTGAAAATGCTATTAGCCAGCATTGCTTGGAATCAGACTTTATTTTATTTTAGTTTATCATGGATTATTATGTCACACTATCAACTAAATAGTAATGCCTTTTAGCTAAACGCAGTAAACTGTTATTTCTGTGAAGATTCTCAGTCAGGTGAGGTTATCTGGAAGTTTAGTCATGACTACTGGACTTCTTTCTTATTAGATTGAAATGTTTCACTACTCATTCAAGTAGCTTCCTCAGCCTGAATACAGTCGGTAGGAGATCCCTGATATATCCTACAAGTTGGTTTCCCTTCCCCTTGGTCTGAATAGGCTCGTTAGATGGACAAAGTACTGGGGGTGAGTGAAAATCCCACCTCTGCAGTCCTTCTCCACCCATTGTCATGGGTTATTAACATCCATCTAAAGAGCCCATTCAGACCAAGGGAAAGTGAAACCAACCTGAAGTATATATCAGGGATCTCCTACCAACTCTTCTCAGACTAAAGAAACTACATGGATGAGTAGCAAAACATTTCAACCTAATAAGAAAGAAGTCCAGTTGCCAGGACTCAGCTTCCAGATAAACAATTATTTTTTCAGTAAAGACAGAAAAAAAATGATACTAAAACCACTGTTTCAGATAGGTTATATATGTTTTGTTGTGTTTCGTTGTCAAGTCAGAACCAACTCATAGTGACCCTAATAGGACTTTCAAAATGAGTGAGATATTTAAGGCTGTTTTATCAGTTTCACCCCCAACTCTGCCCCATGACTTGCCATTGCAAAGCAGGTATTCAAACCAAGAATTTCTGAGACCTAGTCTCCCACTGTATGCACTACACCATATTGGGTATCTACATATGTGTAGAGTAGACCCCTGTATCTGAGGGATCAGTATCTGCTAATTCATTTAGGTCTGAAAATATTAGAAGAAAAATAAATATTTCGAATGATGACATTACTAGAACAGGCCATTAGGGCGAGCGATAGATCATGCTATGTATAATACAGTGGTGCCCTGCAAGTCGATGTTAATCCGTTCAATTGAAATCGCTATTTAGCGAAAACATTGTCTTGCGAAAAGCGTTTCCCCAGTGGAATGCAATGAAATCCATTTAATGTGTTCCAATGGGGAAAACAGTTGTTGTTTTGAGAAAATTTCCCATAGGGAAGCCATTT